GGTTTTCATCTTTCTTCATATCTTCCTTGTTCATCAAGGATTTGAACTTCTTAATGAGAAACGTCCCATCTTCTATCTTGCAAGTGTGTGTTCTTGTTCTGAAGGGAGTTCCTCCACTGTTTGCCTTCTGGAAAAAAACATACGATTCTCTTTGTTGTTTTTATGAGCTTCTATCGCTTCTAACTCTTTCTTCTCCCATGTCATCTTTTTGTTCTTTTTTAGTTTCTTTTCATGGTGTCTACTTTGCCTATAGTCCTCTGTGGCTCTCTCAGTGCAATGCTTGCTTATCATGTAATGATCCCATACTTCCGACTTCTATCCTCCTCCTCACTGAACTGCTGATAAATCCTTTGTAATTTAAGCTGTCTTCCTTTGGAACTCTATCTTTCCCGATATCCGACACACACAATCAGTTTCCTCTTTCAAATCTCTCATCTTTAAGCACCTACTCCTTTCCCTATCCAACTGACCACAAAATGTACTTAAGAGAACTCTTTAAGTACCCCTAGAAACTATTTTTTTACTTGTGTTATTTTATTTTCCTTTATTTGTTATATATATTTATCTAAGATCTACAAAAAAAGTTCATACAAACAGTTGCCCAATTTCCAGCAGAAAAGTAGGAAATTTAAGATTTCTGTTTTTTTAAGCGAGTCAAGTTGTTAGATGAATAAAAAGCAATAACTTAAAAAATATTTTATTTAAATAATTAAACATTTAACATGGATTTTCTTATAATGGAAAACACCTTTTTAATAGAAAGACCATTTTATTGAATAACATAAAAAGATCTAATAATCTAATTAAAGAAGGTTACATATATACAGTACTATCACAGTTGGTTACAGTTACTCAGTGTTACACAGTTCTCCCCCACTTATTGAATACTATAACACAAAGTCATTGAAACGCTCCGCAACTTGTTGAACTCGTTGAGGACGTGTAGGGTAGTTACTTGTTGGTAGATCTTGTCCATAACACGGTAATCTGGAAATCTGGAACACGGTAGCCTTGGAACATCAAAAGATTGGCTTAGACCAAATGAGACTTTTTTTCTAGGTTTTTGAACAAGTATTGGTCTCAGTTGGTTTATATCTCGCTTTATTTTCCTGCCTGAGTCTAACAAAATTTTATAGTGTCAGGTGCTATACTTCTTTTCAATGTTTCCAAATTCTCATACTTGTTTATTGTTGATATTTAGCCGAACTTGAATCCTCTCCCCCACTTGAAGGGAACGGCATGGATTTGAAGGTATTTGTGAACGCTGGGGTTTATACTGGAAGATAGCATCCAATTTTATTTTTAACTGGCGGTGTAGATACATCTCTTCTCGGGATTTTCCACAGACCAGGGGTGTGGCTCTATATCGAAGTAAGATGTTTTGCACCTCCTTCTCAATAGGGTCAGTGTCATTCGCGGCAGCCCTTAATCTGTGTTTCAGAGTTTGAACTTTACATTTGGCAAGGCCATGTGTGGCAGGATGTCCTGGTGCAAGAAACTTTTGAAAAATTCTGTTAGTAGTACAGTAAGTGCGGAATTCTTCACTCTGGAAAATTGATTTGTTGTCAAAGACAATTACTTGCGGATATTCATGTTATGCAAAGATATATTCCACATGTGAGATGGTTGAGGAACTAGTTGGTGCATCGTTGATGATTTTTATCTCGGCCCACTTAAATTTACCATCTACAACAACCAGAAAAAATCGACTTTCAAGTGGACTGGCATAATCCAGGTGAAGCCTTTTCCAGTTATTGTTTGGGGGATCCAGATGGACTGACACTTTTGGAGGATTTGTCCGTGTCAAAGCCCAACTTTCACAACTCTTGACCACACGCATGATGTATTTATCAATATGCAGCCAATAGACGTAACAACGAGCTAGCTGTTACGGTCAGCTACATCACCAATCATCTTGGTGATTCTCAGGTGAGTATGGTGGAGCTCTTCTAAAACGCTGGAGTGTAGGCAGCTTGGAATAAAATCTCTATCTTTCCAGAAAATAATACTGTCTACTTCGAGTCTATTGAGTTTTTCTTGAGGTCATTAATAATTTTAGTAAGTTCTGGATTCGACGCAGTGTTAGATTTGATGGTATCTTAGGTTATTGCCGAATTCGATATCTGGAACAGTGTTTTTGTGCACACTGTTCAACCAGGGCTTGTGGCAGGGCTTTACTGTGATGAAAAAACCTGGACAACAGCTCATTATCAGTGATGAGCTCGAAGTGTTTTCTGTATGAATAATTGTCAACAGGGGTCTCATCCCCCCCCCAAGGTTGATGGCACAAGAACCTACCTTTCCCCTCCTTCCAAGATATTTATTGTTCACCTTTCTTAAAGAGCTAGCTAAGGTAGAATTAGAAAAATCGTAGATCATATATAAATATACTTGCTGAGGTCAGTTACGTGTGTTACCCTTGTCCATTAGTCTGAAAATTCATAACCCTGTTGAAATTTGCCCCCCTCAAAAATTCAAAAACTCGTCAAAATATACTCCCCTCAAAAGTTTTGAAGGCGCAACATTCGCCAAGAAACCCCCTTTGGAATAAGAATATGATCAACACAAAGTTCTGATTTTCTCTTTAACAATGCTGCTTCTCAGTTTGCCGTCCATACCCAGTGCTCATTTTTTTTCAGTCAAAATCTCAGGGGATATGAAATTGTGGAGAAATCGGGTACAAATCTTGAATAATAAGTCACCAGACCCAGGAAACGTCCAATGTCATCAACGTTTGACGGCCTTGGTATATTTTGAATTGTAGCAACCTTGTTAGGAGATTTGCTCAGTTTATTATATTCCACAATATGTCCTAAATATTCCAGTTTTTGTTCTAAGAACAAACATTTGTTTTTGTTGAAGTGCAAGTCAAATTGAGAAAGTCTCTGGAGACAAAGATAAAGGTTTCGGATACATTATTTCTTGGATGGACCATGTACTATAATATCGTCAAAATATGATTCAGTATTAGGAAGCCCTTTTAGAATTTGGCCCAACATGCGATTGAATTCTAACAGTGCTATTTTTATTCCTAAGTATACGGTACTGTGTATACGGTTAGTGCCTCTGTGGGCGGTAATAGTTTGTATTATAATACTTTCGTTCATGACTTTTAGATGTAAATAGCTTTTGTGGAGATCGATTTTACAAAAATATCTAGAATTTCTAAGGCTGTTTAGAACATCATCTTTGAGTCGAATGGGGTGCTTTGCCTGAACTAAATGCTCAATGACTCTGCATTAATAGTATACACAAAGGCATACGCCACCATCCTCTTTGGGGATTACGACCAATGGATAACCCCAATCTGTTGCTGTGATTGGGGAAATAATCCCTGTCTGCTAGGAGAGCATCTAACTCTTTATCAATCCGGTTCCAGAGATCATAAGGAATATTACGTTCCTTAATGAAGACTGGCTGGGCTCCCTTCTTGAGTTGGAGAGTGACTTGGCAACCTGATAAGCAACCAACTTTTTCTCCAAAAATATTTGAGAAATTAATGAAAATATCTTAAAGCGATTGAACATCCTAAATGTTGGAAACTGGCAAATTCGATACTGCTGGTGAGTCAAGTGCTAGAAGTTCGATTCCTAAGCTCCAAATCCATTGACGTCCTAGTAAAGTGTCGTATCCGGCTGGAACAATGTGCAATTCCTCTATAAACTCTCTCCCATGATAAGATACAGTGACTGCAATATACCTTTGGGCTAAATTATGTTGCCCGAATATGATCGGAAAGTGATGTTGGAAGTTTCTAGAGGAATATTCAATTGAAGTTGTCTGAAATCAGGCTTGGACAAGATAGAATGTTTGGCACCAGAATCAACCTTAAACTGCTGCGATTTCCAATTGAGTAGAACATCTATGAGATATTTATCACCACCCCCGATTTCAAATAAGTCAACAATGGTTATGAGCATGTAAAGGCCATAAGGAGGTGGATCTGGAGATATGGGCATGGTTTGAAGAGTGTTAGAGGAACTGGAATTGGTTTTATTAATGGATTCCCCTATTTTCTTGATGATTCATGCAATGTCCAAATGTAGAACATATTTGCATTTTATGTTGGCTTCATCCACTCGGCAATCTTTAATTTAATGGTTATCACCACTAAAATAAGGAAATCCAAAAATAAAACCAATTCCCGTTCCACTAACACTCTTCAAACCATGTCCATATCTCCAGATCCACCTACTTATGGCCTTAACATGCTCAAAATCGCATTTGATTGTAAAATTTGTTCTCTAAGCCAATGGTCTCATAAGCCACAAATAAATTGGGCTCTTAGAAAAACATTAGCAATAGAAACAACTTTTCAGCATTAATGAGTATCTGATTCACACTTTACAAAAAACTCACACTCAGCTAGATCTTGTTGAAGCGTGGCAACAAACTCTGAAATAGTTTGTTGTTCTTTTTGGAAAACATTTAGAAAATGGGCCACTATAATACTTTTTTTTACGTATGTTTTCTCTCTCTCTTATTAATTAGTTATTGAAATCTCGTTTATTCATTAATTAGTTATTTAAAATGGTCAGATTATCAACTAAAACAATTGATCAAGAAACATTACTTCATTACCATGTATTGAACCAAACAACCTTAATTCACTGTAATGGAAAATAATTTTGTTCTGTCTCTGTTTTATAGTTAAAAAGTTGTCTTAAACATTTTTTTTCGTTAAAAAGTTGTCTTAACCATTTTTTTCTTTTTATTTATTTAAAATCACTAGAAGTTATTGTAGTTTTCCTTGGCAACAAAAACATTTACATTAACAGAATTCCTTAATGTGCTCAATATTTTAAATGGTTTTCTGGGTATTTTAGTGATACTTGTTTAATCATTGTATCTACCTTACACTTATATTTTTGGTCTTCTTCCAGCTCTGAAACCTACATTTCAATCAACATTTATTGAACAAACTCTTCAGCCGGGTTTATCCATCTCATTAAAATGTAAGGCATCTGGAATGCCTCCTCCGCGGATTACATGGTCTCTTGATGGAAGTTCTTTACTACCTCGTGGTGAATACATGTTAGGTTCTTTTTTGGATTCAATGGGAGATGTTATAAGTTTTCTAAACATAACCAGCACTAAAGTGCATCATGGTGGGCTATATTCATGCATAGCACAGAATACTTTTGGAGAAATAAGTCATTCAGCTGCACTAAATATATATGGTATGTAGAACTCTAGTCAACGTTTAAAATTGAAGGAACATTATATTGTTTCATATAAAATTTCTAGTTAATGTAAAGTTTTAAGACAATTATTCAAAATATAAAAGTAAAAATAATTAGAGCTAATCAATTACATCTTATACAAAATAAAGTTATTGTTATAGGCCCTCCAACAGCAAGACAACCTTTGAATATAACAGCAGTATATGGACATGACATCATGCTTTACTGCCCTGTTGCTGGTTTCCCTAAATCTTCTACCTCATGGTTACATCATGGATCACATATAAGTAGTAAACACAAACAATTTTCCAATGGCACTCTGTTGCTTCATAGCATTGATTCACAACATGATGAAGGAGAATATACATGTGAAATAAAAAATCAACAGTATAAAACTGCACGCAGTCAAATTTTCCTCAACATTTTAAGTAACTAAAAAGTTCAATTTACCTATATTAATTTATTTTTGATAATTTGGAAATGAGGACAATATATTTTTATAAAATCAATTATTTCAGAGCCACCGGAAATTCAAGAATTTCATTTTCCATCTAATTTACAAGAAGGGAATAGAGCTCATGTTTCGTGTACAGTAATTTCGGGCGACTTACCAATAAAAATTAATTGGCTAAAAGATGGAAATCCTCTCCCCAATGAACCTGCTGTACAAGTTCAACACCATCAATTTGTTAGTGCTTTGCTTTTCAGTAATTTAGCTGCTCACCATTCAGGTTTTTACACATGTGTGGCCAAAAATGGCGCAGCACAAGCTAATTTCACATCAAAACTAGTCGTCAGAGGTGAATAGTTAATAGCTTATTCCTATGTTTTTAAATATTAAATGGATACCCTGTCTTATTTGTAGTTCTGTTATATAATGAATTATTTATTAATAAATATAAATATGTTTCTTTTTATTGTGTAGTTGCACCAAAATGGATCACAGAGCCTATTGATACCATTGTGCTTTACCATCATTCTGCAAGTATCCATTGTCAAGCATCAGGTTATCCTCCTCCAAAAGTTGCATGGAAGTTTTCTAAAGGTAAATTTGTTACTTTATCATTTTTTTAGAGTATAATTTTATCTCTTGAAGATATTTTTTATTTAAATAATACAATCCAGAAACACAAATAAAATTATACAACTTTTTGATATGTTATTTTTACTTTCAATTTTCACTATATATGAAATATATAGTAAAGGAAAGTATAATGACCAAATTGATAATTAAAATATACAGTTGTAAATGGAAATAGCTAGCGTCAATCAAAATAAATATAATACATCAGACAGCTATGGAAAACAAATGGTAATTAATTGTTTTAAATAATGTTTCATATCGTCTATAATTTTTACTTTCACTTCCATTTGTCTGAAAATAGTTTTTTCTGCTAGAAGAGTGTGGTAAGTGAAAGTTTCATGATGTGCACACCACACCAGATTTTCTCATTTAAATATTAGTAAAAAGGCATCAGAGGAATCAGGTGGGAAAAAATGTATTGCAAAATTGCTAACACTGATTTACATGTAAAGGGTGTTCCATATATGCAGGTGACGATTGAAATATTTTGGAAACCGTTAGAGATATTGTAAAATTGCAAGGGATCAAAGTTGGAGCTCTCTTGGAGAACTTTCAATTTATTAATCCCAAAAAATCTGGTTTCAAATCTTAAGCTCTCGCTCAAAGATCAGTATTTTCTCTTTATCCCACAATTTTATTCCTCTTTTGAAAACTAAAAAAAGTATGTATTTTAGTTTTTTTGTTTCACCAAATCATTTTGCTATGTAATCAAATGTATGTTTCATCAAATGTATTTTGCTAGCCAAATCATACCTAATTTTAATGCTGCAACTAGAAAGTTGACGTCTATGAATTTAAAACGCCATTTTCTTTAATATATTTTTTTTCCACAGATTCAATTAAAAATAGTTAGGAAGTATCCCAACAGTATAAAGTGATCTTCCAGGGAGAGGGGTAGGGGAGGTTATACTGTTTCTAGTTGAAAACATAAGAGATGTTACAATATATATATATATATATATATATATTGTAACGTTCCCTTTGTCAACAAAAACCAAACAAAGAGTTTCCTTTTTCAATATATTATTTATTTTAACACATATAACATAAATCTCAGGTTGGGTTCGGACAACTGAACACTCATTCAACATTTAATAACTATAATTTACTAAATTACTAAATACATATAAAGAAACGAGATACATACATTAAGAAATTATACATTCAAAAACCTTTATTGTCCCAGTCTAAACTTTGTGGCTCTTTCTATTTTCTCAACTTGCTGGCTAGTACCTTCTCTCTTGACAGCTTGTCACATTTTCTCTTGGCGGCTCATAATCTTCTCTCTTGGCCGCTAGCACCTTCCCTCTTGGCGGCCCGTCGCAGTCTGAGTTACATGAGCTTTGCTTCCCCCACTTCCTCCCTGTAGTTCATACTCTTGCCACTTTCGCACCACTATTTTTATACCATGTAATGTTGACATTACAATATGTACATACATATGTTTTTGTGTTTTTTTTTTTGTTTTTTTTCGGTTGGCACTACAGACCATGAAGATCTTTGGTCCCGAGATGTGGTCTCCTTACAGACGTGTGATACTTGCGGGAGCTCAGATAGCCTGGAGGGTGTCACCCAACCTCACGTTACTACAAACCATGGTTCCCATGGTGCAGCGGGAGGTCACCCGTAGCTCCATAGCCGATCCTTTTGGGGCCAATCTGGCAATGTCCTTCCTACCGACTTTCTCGGGTTCAAGGACAGTGACAAATCGGTCTAGATTCATGACTCTGCTCGGAGTCAGCAGGTGCATGAGGACCTATATTTCTTTCCCCGAAACAGACCGTCCATGGACCGAACCTCAGGGGGCTATTAACATCCTGGTGAACCACATCCCGATTCCCGATTTAAAGTACACAGGGTAGGGTCATCAGTCCTACGCCCGGTCGGTATGAGTTGCTTCCAGTATGTTGACGGGCCTCACATACCCGGGGGGGGGAGACTCGGGCAGCATGGTTTTTCCCTTGTGGACGATTAGCCAAAGTGGGCAGTCACCCATCCAAGTACTAACCACGCTCGACGTTGCTTAACTTTGATTACCTATTGCAAGTGCCTTAGTCCGTACGGCTACCCCAGCCCCCTATATATGTATATATATATATATATACACTTCTTTTTACCAAAAAAATTAAATTCATTTCCTCATATTATATAAAATTGCAATACTAAATTTTAAATAAATAAAAAAAATTAGATAAAGAATCATTTCTCACATCTTATTTTATGTTCGCAGGTTCTAATCCTAGCCTAAGTAACAAATTGGCAAAAACTGATTTTGTACAACAAATCGAAAATGGATCTGTTATAATTAAATCAGCAGAACTTGATCATACTGGCTATTATACATGTGAGGCTGAAAATGGAATAGGAAAACCTTTGATTAAAACAGTTACTATAAAAGTGAGAGGTAATAATATCTGTATTATAGATATATTTAGCCAGTTGGATGATTAATTATTAGGAGTGATAATTTAAACTCCACTAATGAAGATCCTAGAACCAGAGGATAAGTAATAGAAGTATTGTGCTACTTCTATAAAAAATCTGTATTGCCATGAGGCAAGAGAAGAACTAAATAAATATTGAATATTTAATAGTTGACCGTTGCATTATAATGGAAGAAGACGGTCTGGGGTGGTGGTCATAAATAGGCTAAGTAGTGGCAAAACTATTTTATTAAAAGTCAACGTTTTGACCCGACTTTGCAGGTCTTCTTTAGGGAAGTGTGTTCAGCTAGGAGTTTCACTTAAAACTGGAGTTTCAGTCTGCAAGACCCGTAAAGTCGGGTCAAATGTTGACTTTTAATAATATAGTTTTGCCACTATTTAGCCTATTTATGACCGCCACCCCGGACCATCTCCTTCCTTCATAAAATAAATAAATAAATGATTAATTGTTACTAAATATTGTCAAGTGGTAGTAATTTAAATGCTTTTATTTTTATATTATTCTAAACACTTAAATTTCTTTCTAGTCTGATATCCAAATCATTCCACCTTAACTGTGCATATTAGTCATCAAAAACTTTCATCCTGGGTCTTATTTTTGTTTTTTCTGCTGAAATTTAGTGCTAACAATAAAAAGTCTGTTTTAAAAAACTGTTAAGCAAACATTGACTAGACTTTTTATTGAATAAATTACAAAAATGACTTTGTAATAATCCTTGTATATGACCTCTGAGTTTGGCACCTTAACAGATTCTGTACAGTTTGGCTCCTTTAAGTTAAAAAAAGTGGATGAATTTGTATCCCTGGGGTCCCTGATAACTGCAGGCTATGACATCTTAAAGGAAATTGAGAGGAGAAAAGTTATTTCCAACCGATGTTACTTTAGGCTAGGAAGCCATTTAAGGAATAAATATCTGTCAAGGACAACAAAATTACAGCTGTATAAGACACTGATCAGACTGGTTCAGGGACTGGAGAACTGTAGCGGCCACTGATGGTCTGTCGAACCAGTGGAAGAAGAAGAATAATACATGTGATTCCATCAAACACATTAGAATTCTATTAATCAAAACGCCTATATTCTAATCTTTCAGGAATTATAACCATTAACAAACAACTATAGCAGTCTTTTACCTAGTTTCAAATCTTTCTAACAAAATATATTTTCTTGAAATGAAAAATTATGGAACAAATCTTCTGTTAATAGCAAACTCAGACTCGTTTAAATTAATTATACTTTTTCAATCAACCAATAACCTAGCTTTTGCAAAAGCAATTGATTCTTTTAAAAAATCTAAGTTATGGTATAGAATGCCAACAGTCTGAAAATTTGATAGCAATATTGAAAACAAATTTGTTACAATTTCGCTATTATCCATAACTTCTTTGCAGCCTTAATTTCACTAATTAGAGTTTCAAAATCAGTGAAAATGAAAGTTAGCTTGACTCACCTTAATATTTTAGTCAACTTAGTGTTTGCTTGAGTTTGATTGTTTATACCATTCATTGACTTAAAGTTTTTGAGGATGTTTATCATTTCCTTGTCAGTATTGTAGTATTTTTAGTACCAAAGATTTATAATTTCAATGCATCCAAAACTTTATTCTGTTCTAGTAACAGTAAATTGCTATAATGTGAGTTTGAAAAATGTTTCACAATCATTACCAAAAATTCCAAAGCCACTTACTACAACAATAATACAAAATTGATTTCATCCAGTATGTATAATCTTAGAATGCAATTTATAAACAATATCAACCTATCATATGTAAAAACTTATTGTAATCGATAATATAATACTTATACAGCTTTTCTATTATTTAGTTATTCAATCACTTTAATGAAGGCAATATTAATGCAAATATTGATAAATGAGGGCTTTTCAAAACATGTTTTGAGGAATACTATTAAATGATTTCTCCAAGTCTATATAAGTTATTTTGATATTTTGAAATACAACTACCTGTTACCAAATATTTTACCAATACTTCGTTCTTCTGACTTACAGTTTCTCTTTGAAAGAAATTCCTATAATTGAGTCCTCATAACTTTGTCAAAAATCGTTATAATTATGTTTTATCTTTGGTTAATAAATAAAAATTTCTTTTCTGATTAAACTTATTGATCTATTGCAGTATGGCATTGGACTTATTATCAATGTGTCTTAGCTCTTTATTATTAGAGCATCTACTATCACATTATCTTGATAATTTTGTGTCCAGGTGCTCATGTTTGTTGGATACATTGTTAATTCCATACTAGATGAAATATAAATTTACAGAAATTTATAGGCTTTATTATCTTCTGTTTATTTCATATACTTATATATTTTTTTCCTTTTTTGCCTTTCTCTAGATTTTACGGCAATTAGGTCCAAATATTACTCTATTGAATTAGACAAAACTACTTAAAAAAAAACGCATAAGTTGCAACTGGCCAAATAATCGTTTGGTATATCCTAAACTTCATTTTACGACTTAACAATCTATTTTTCAGAAGGCTCTCTAGAGAAAAGTATGCTCTATTGGCAGCCATTATTCTAGCTCCTATCTCCTCCTCTTCATTATGGCTATTGTTAATTATGAACCTGAGGTAGGTGAAGCTTGATACAGCTTGAAAAATATGGTTTCCCAAGACATAGTGCTGTAGTGGATGGACAAGCTTTTTCTTCCTTAAAACAAAGACCTTTGTTTTACTTTTGTTGATGCATAGCCCCATTTTCCCTGCCTCATTCTCCAACCTACTGAATGCACTCTTTACTGCTTGAAGTGATAATTATTATATGATAATGTTATCATTATATATATAATGATTGAAGCCTAGTTCAACAACAATTGGGTAACATTTTACTGACGATAATTTTTACAACTCAACAGGAGATAAGAAGGAGATACAAGTTCTAACCCATCTTGATATTAACTTTAAATAAATAAATTTTAAATTTAGTACAAATAGATTTAATTTGTTTCCCAACAAAAAATCGTAATCTTTAATAATATAGATCAAGGATCTCCAAACTTTTTTGCCCATGGGCCATATTGAGGCCTCTACTAAGCTGCATTAAGATCTTCAACCAAGTCCCACAGGGCTTGTGATGAAAAAATTCTTGTTCTATAAATGACACTTCATTTGTGAAATGAACTTTCTTAGCGAAAAAAAAAACTTGAAATAAATGTTGTAGTAACCTCATGTGTGAATAATTTGCTAAATATTATGTTTTTAAAACATTACTATGTAACCAGGGGCCGTAGTTTAGAGACCCCTGTTACAGATTATAAAAAAAAAAGGCAAAATCTTAGCTTTCTTCTTTAAAAATTTTCCTCCCTCTCAAAATCTGCCCTAAATAATGAAAATAACTACTTACTTAAATTAAAATTATTTATTTTTTTGTTTTTATTTGAAGTATCAATAAACAAAGACTGAAAGGAATTAAATAAAATATCTCCATTATTTATTTCAATATTCAATATTTATTTTTTTTACTGTAATATTTTTTCAGTTCCAGCACATTTTAAGACTCATCATATGAGTTATTGTGGAATATCTGGTGAGTCCATCAGACTTATTTGTGAGGCAGAAGGGGATTCTCCTATTCATATTTCATGGAGTGAGGCTCCACGTCAAAATCTTCCTATACCGCAAATAAGATATAAAGAAAATGGAGTTTCTTCTGAAATATTACTTGAAAAATTGACTAAGTATGATTCTGGAAAGTATTATTGTGTTGCAAGGAATGACTTTGGCTATGACACTAAGATAATACAATTAATTATTGCTGGTAATGTGTTTTCTGTTTTTCTAAGATTTCCTTTTACTCATAATCTTAAATATTCTTGTATATTTTTTTATTGAGTTTAGAGTTTCTGAAACTTATTATGGTGTTAGTGTTCTTAACAATCATTTTAATTTTAATCTCAGTATCTAAAGTAATTATCAAAAATTATTTCATTAAAAGATTTGTTATGTTATTATTTATTTAAAAGAAATTATTAAATGAAAACCTTTGTAATTACTATCTCACTTTGAAAATGTTATAATAAATAATGAATAATTTAATTATATTCTAACAGCAAAATCACCTTGATTTTAATATCATTGTTTTCTTATTTATTTGAGCATTGATTTTCTTTTCAAATTATAACCATGAAGGAGCACATTTTTGACAAAAAAACATTCTATACATGCTTAAACTAGATCAAATGTGCTACAATTTAAGAGGATAACAGGCTTGGTAAATGAAATAGTTTTTGAAATACAGATTTTTTATTTATTTTCAATGTTAGAAAAATTTTGAACTATCTTTGATTTTTAATCAAATACAATTGTATTTTATATTCAATAACCTATCTGATATGAGTCAGTGAAGTAAATATTTATTCATTTTCATATTATGAAGGAGGGGACATGGAGGGGGGAAGGATGGTTTGGTGGGTGAGGGTAGTGCGTAGGCCTGATCCCCCTACCGTGCACCTTCCCCTCACATTCCTATAAAATCTATACCACTGTGTTCCATGTAACTGTATATTAAAAAAAAAAAAGCTAATGTTCCCACAAAACAATGTTGCCACACTGTCTTAAACTGGCGTTCAAACATGACGGGTCGATTCCTTTGATTTCAGTAGGTTTGTCAGTCACTGAGATTCAGCAGTTGACTTAATTTCTTCATGATTGGTCTTTTATTAAAGCTGGATAGTCAGAAAATAATAAAACATCATACAATTTTAAAAACTAATTGGCCTTGGTAATAAAAAATACCAGTAAAGTTTCTTCTGTTCATTTTTCCTACTTTTGGTGTCTTGAAGTTATTTATTTTTTACAATAAATTAGGTCAATTTTCACCAACATTTTAATGATACGTATTGATTTGACGTTTCGACCATACTAAGTAAAGTCAATTCTTTCAAGTCGTTCGAATTAATGCTGAAAATCAAGCATCATTTGTAATTAAACAGCCAACAATAAACGAAAACGCCTTAAGATAAAGCATCTACCAAATAAATTTCTTTTTCTAAATTGCTCAATAATTTTTAACATATTTGCAAGGGTTTTGTAGAAAATTAACTTCATCAGCGAAAAAGCGGCACTGGCTTGGTGCCTACAGTACTCTGCCACATAATTCGGTTCTCACTAATGCCATAGTTATTGTGCTATTCTCTTCATATGTCTATTATATTTTTCTTACACCAAATAATGTTTTCATCAGTACCTTGTTACATTTTCAAAGATTTTGTATGTTCCTTATTTACTCCTTCAAAATAATAAATTAAATAAATGTTTGCTTCACTAACTCTTATAAGGCAGGAGAATTAGCGTAACATTTCCAAGTTTTGAAAATTTCATTCACTTCATTTACAATTTTTGTATGCAATTGATGTAAATGTATGTTAAATAATTTTTTATTTCAATTTCAGTCTTCTAGTTGTGAAAAGTGATCTCCCCATCTTCTACTAAACCTACTCCATTCCCTCACTTCTCATTACAAATGTTAAAATAAATAAAAATTTACTTCATTGAATCATGCAAGATAGGTTATTGAAGATATAAAGACAATTGCATATGATCAAACATGAAAAAAACTTAATATTTACAAAACTTTGAAAACCTGTATCTCAAAGGTGGCAAGGTCGAAAACTTTGATTTTGTGTCTCAGTCACACTCCATACAAGAAAAAAACCCATTTGATGCAACTTAGACCCCCCTTTTCATGACAAGGTTACTGTGCTATTAGCTGATAATATATTTTTGATACTGAAACCCCAGAGTATTTGTATTATTCATTATTATATTTGAAGTAATTATATTTTGTGCATAAGTTAATTTCCTTCCTGAAAATTTTTTTTATTTTTGATTTTTGTTTCATTTTTTATATTTTTTAACAAAAGAAGAAAAGAAATAGTATATTAAATGTCTATTGACACATCTAATCATTAAAAACAAAAAAAACCTATTATCTAGCATTTTATGCTTATAGAAACGTTTATAATTTTATGATAAATTTCCTTTTATAATTGGTTCATAGCTTATTTCTTTAATATATATAAACTGTGGTGTTATTATTGTAGAAGCGCCTGATGTTCCTAAGCATCTAGAAGTTTTTGAAATAGGAAGCAGATGGGCTAATGTTCATTGGGAGCATCCAGATGATTCAGGTAGTATTGTAAAGAGCTACATACTGCAGTTTAGAGAAAAGCACCTACACAGCCAGTGGAATAATTTAACTATTAATGGTGAAATGAAGAGTACAAGACTGGGAACATTGTTACCAAACACTTTATATGAAATAAGAATAATGGGAACTAACAAAGTTGGAACTGGTGAAGCGAGTGATATTATTACTTTTTCTACTCTTCAAGAAGGTAAAATAAACCATTTACAAAACTAATATTTTAATATTAATATTTTCCTTTAATATTTTCCCTGATCTCTTCCATGCATGCATTCTTGGTTTTTTAACCCAATCTAGCTTCCCATTCTTAAGTAAATTTCTTGGTAAAGTCAGTTAACACGGCAGAAGTGTGCTCTATTTTACTACACAAGAGGTGTCACATGAGCAATTCCTTCACAATGTATTTATGTTGCTCTATTTTGAATGATTTCTGTCTCCAAAATTATTATAGTTTTGGGTAACATTGATACACTGCTTTATAATATTTCTTGTAGTAATAACTAAAAAAAAAATGAATAAATAAGTAGAATGCAAACTGAGATAATTTTTTATTTAAAAACAACATTGTTAAAAATATTTTTAAAAATAAGTACAACATTATTCAGATAGTGATTCATTAAAATTCACACACATTGCAACAATGTTAGTTGCAAATTGAATTGTGGCATTCACCACAGTTCTTTTTGGTTTTCTAATCTTTCTTTGTTGGTTCCACATCAACATTTATGCATTAATCACTCACAGATTCAATGGAAAAGCTAGTAGGATAAAAATTACATTTTGAATTAATCTTCTTCTTCTTTGTCTTACTCTTTGTGCCATTACTATCGTTGAGGAGCCTCTATCTCATGCAGCTATGCCTCTTGGTCCCTACTAAGCTGCTGCATATATTCCTGATAGGAAATTCTGGGGCGGCCCCTCGGCCTCCTCTCCCAGTGGGTCGAGCTTCCAGAAACTTTTGCGGATCTCTCTACTCCTCCATCTGACAAACCATGGATTTTATAAGGGCCTGCTGCAACTTGTCTTTCATGTCCACAATCAGAACGATATCATCGGCATATAGTAGGCTTTGGACCATAATATTTCTCATGTTCCATTTTCTGATGACCCTCCAAGCAGTACAACGCTTAAAAATTTTATAGATTTCATCCATAAACATGATGAACAAGAAGGGACATAGGTTTTCTCCCTACCTGACTCTTCTCTCCATGATAAAATGCTTGGACTCCCTACCATTAATCCTTACTATTCCTTTTGCTGCCTTATAAGCCAATCTAATTGCCATGATAAGATCAGCTGGGACATTTTTTGCCGCCAAAGCATTCCATATTTCTTGTCTTGGAACAGAGCCGAATGCTGCTTTGAGATCCAGAAATGCCATGTATATGTTCTTGTCTCTGTCCCATGCTTTCTCTCCGATGTTAGCACCAAGATGATCTTGAGTCTACCTCCATGGACGAAAGCCTGCTTGTTTGCTCTCTATTTGGTTATCAACTACGAGCCTTAATTTTCTTTCTAAGATTGAAGAGTATAGTTTGTAAGCCACTGAAAGTAAGCTTATAGGCTTATAGTTTTCAAAATCTGTGGAACTACCCTTTGTCCCTGATAGAACTCCTTCCACTGTTCGCTTCTTCGGTGACCATGCTGCCACAAGAGTCTTTGACATATCTCACTGGCTTTCTTATTTTTCCTCTTAATATCTTTACTTTACTCCAGAACTTCTTAATACTTTGTTACGGTCTTTAATTTGGAAAAATTGTTTCTGCAACAAACTTGCCGGATGCTCAGTGGAGATAGTAGGGTTCGCAAATCAAGAGACAATTAGATATTAATAACTGTCTAACGAGCGCTACGCTACTTAATTTATTGAATTTGGAAAATAGCGAAAACCATAAAATAAAAAAAAATAAATTAAATAAATTTATTTAAAAAAAAAGATTTGGACGTGGAGTGATGCTACGAACTCGGAACCTATGGGTTTAAAAACATATGTTAATTAACCTCATAATCTACGGAACCTTCTTACTTGGTTAATATTCATTTTCTCTAATCCCTCGAATAGGGTTTTACAATTCCTGATTAAACCTTTAAAAAAAATATATATTATATACATAAAACGTGAAAACAAACTGAAGACAATAAAACTGGCTATTATTAATACTAATGATGAATTTACTTATTTCTATTGATTTAAATAACTGTTAAAGGAAATGAAAATTATGAATAATAAATTAGATTTATAAGAAAACAAAGAAAATACAATTAACTTTAATTATCAAAAAAAAAGAATATAAAATTATTATAGAACTAAACATTAACTTAGACTATACAATAAACCAATTACAAATATTTGAAAACAAAATATATAGGAAATAAAAACTTATACATACATATTTATAAAATCTCAATGCCGAACTTTGTCCAATTGGCACATTGAGTTATCTGAGGAAGCGGGGAATTTATTCGAGCTAGCGTCGTCGGGGTCTTTCCAGTCTACCTCCTCAAGCTGTGAAAATGTTCATTCACCAACTTGTAAAATCAAGCGGCACTCGTCGTTGATAATCACAGGTTCTTGGAGAATAAATGAAAAATCCGGTGTACACTGTAAAACTAAAATATTTCACAACCAAAAATCCTTAGCGTGCCTCTACACTCGCGAGGTTCCACCATCTCTCTAGACTCTCTTTTGTTTTTCTCCCAATCATCTGTTGGTTATTCCGATCCGAAATAAAATTATTACTTAAAACTAGGACTGACAATAAACTAATACTTATTATTAAAAACTATTACTAATTACTTAATTTATTTTTAGCTAACCCTCTTCGAGATAAAACTAACAATTATTTTATGAAATAATTATTTTTTTATGTTTTACTTTTTGTCACAACTTTCCCGGTAGTCTTCATCAAGACTTTTTCCTAATCTTTCCTATGGCTCTCTTTTCATCTAGTTTTTCGGTAGTTTTGTCTTGAAAATAAGCTTTCCATGCTTTCTTCTTAGATTGAACAAAACATTGTACTTCCTCATTCCACCACTCTGTGCACTTTTGTATATTAGATATTTTCCGCAAGCCGTAAACTTCCCTTGCAGTTTCCAGGAAACAGGATTTTAAGCAGCACCACTGTTGTTCTACATCCCCCTCTTAGCTCATGGTTCTTAATTTTCCTTCCAGTTTTTCGGTGTAGGAGGTTCTCTTTTTTGGACCATCTAGAGCTCTTATGTTCACTGCCTGGTATCTCTTTTGTTTAATTTGCCGTTTCTGTGGAATTTTGGTATCGACTATTAGCAGCATATGATCGCTGCCAATTTCAGTTCCTCTTATAACTTTTTCATCAGTAAAATAGTGTCTAATGTCGAAATATTCTATAATGCTATTTCTTTCCAGGCTCGAGAAAGTTATTTAGTGTATTGTTTTGTGGGAAAAGAAGGAATTTCCCACCAGCATATCATTGTCTATGCAGAATTTATAAGGCATTGTCCATTTCCGTTTCTTACACTTTCCCTTCCATGGAGTCAGAGGGCACCGTAAGTGGGAGAAGGATCACAACCTGTTCTTGCATTGAAATCTCCACTCAGTATTGCGAATCGCCCTTTGAACTTCATTTTTTTGAGCAATCCTTGCAAGTCAGAATGCTTCCTTATCCGTGATTCCCGCATCCTCTGTTGGTGCATATACCTTCACTAAAGTAACTTTATCAATAGCCAACTCATAATTTGCAGCAATTATTCTTGGTGAGATAGGCTCCCAGTCTTCCATTTGTTTATACATTGTTGGAGTCATAGCTGTACCTACTCCTTCCTTCATGAAGTTTCCTTGAGGAACTCCAGCATATATAAGGGTGTAATCGCTGTCCAGTTTTATTTCACCGATTCCTTTCTTTATCTCGCTGATCCCAAGTATGTCCACCTTGTATGTCTTCATCTCTTCCACAACCTCAACCTGTTTTCCTGTCAATGTCTTTATATTCCAATCTCCAAATCCTAAATCCCTATGAGCGCCAAGTCATTTCCATGCGATCTGTCCACATCTGAGGCTGGTTTTTTTGAAATAGACTACACTACTATGTGGGTTATTAGCCCACCAATGGAGGCCCCGTATCCTCAGGACAACTGGTCTCCTGAATATTTTTGTCCCCACAGGAGAAATGGTGGTCGGGCCATACCCCCCAGCACTAGGTTGGTCCATGGGTCTTTATTCTGTAAATTCAGACCCTAATACGAGGGATCCCCCATCCCCCACCCGGAGGACACGCTCCCTAGTGGACAGATTCCATCAAGAATTGAATTTATCAAAGGTTCATTAATATAAAAACATTCTTTTTGTAAATAAAATGGATAAGTAAAAAAGTTATAATTATGTTTTTATTAGTTTTGAAGTATGCTTAAGGCTATACCTCTTTCAGGTTAATGGGTTATTAGAGATCATGATGATGAAGTATGTTAGAGCGTTGTCTGTTTTAGCATTCGTGTCCAGTGATACCGGTTCAAATCCGGCCTGGGTGTGTTGAAATTTATTTTGTGGCGGATCCGCAAATTGAATCTTGGCCTTCCCTCCCACTCTGGTTAGAATAGGTTTGAATGTACCTTTAGAACAAATCTCCCTACCCCTCCCCCACCTCATGTGCCAGAAGTGGCGAGGTAGGGGTTAGTCCAATAAAAGAAAAAGAAAAAAAAAAGATTAATGGATTAGAAGAATGGCATTGTATTAAGAAAATTTACATGTACCAGTGGCAACAATTGTTTTACCTGTCCATGTTTTAATAAATTTAACTATTTTGTTTATAAATATTATTAGTAGTACAGAACTAAAACTATCTTTTGGATTAGCCTTTTTTTTATCAAAGGTACCTTGACTTAATTTAATTTTAGTTTTGTAGTAGGTTCATCTTATTACATCAATAAAATTAGATAGGACATTCTTTGTTTTTTCATGTGGCATATCTAAACTTTCCATACTTCATATTGGGTCACTGAGTTGAAACTTTGTCCTTTTGATTGCAAGATTGATATTTTTAGGTTTATAATTAATCCTTATTAGAACATTAATATTTTATATTCATCTCTTGAAATTTTGAAAGACAGATAATTCAGCCAGAATAAACCATGTATACATACAATAAGTGTTTAGAAATGACAATTTTTAAAGAAAAAAGTTTTTATTCTGAAAATGAAATATATTAATCAGACTAGGATAAATTTATGATTAGGGTTTATGT